ATAATTTTACAATTAAGAATATAAATTATTGATAAATAACATTTTAAATTATAGTTTTTTTATTTATAATAACAATTCAATCAATTTCTCTAATTTCATATTAAATAATAATTGAATATCTCATATTTTTTTTAATTAATAAAATTATTACTGTCATATAAGAAAATCTATTAATATTAATAATTTGTAAAATTTTATTGTATATGTATATAGATAATATTAATTTAATTAAAAAAATATAAAATAATATAAAAATGAAAAAATTTAAAAATTTTTTGGATTTTAAACAGAGTATAAAAAATATATGCTTTAAATAAATATCCATTCATAAAATATAATGTTTGATGTTGAACTTTGTGTCATATTTCATTTGACAAATATCTTTTAATCATAATTTAGCTTATGATATATAAATAAGTATTCAAAAAACATTTTGTGCTTACACGAGCTCCTTCTTTAAGCATTTGGGCCATGCCCGGTGCCTTTGGTACATGAAAAGCCATGATTTTTTATAAAAATCAGATCTTTATACCTCGTGTGTATTTTAAGATTAATAGACAACTTTTCGTCAAAAATAACGAACAATCCAGATGTTTTTCCATGATTGCGATTACAGCGACATCACTCTTTAATAATTCTAATCTTAAAATTATAAAAGTTTTTATAATGTCTTTTATTAAATTAAATATTTAATAAAATAATAAAAAAATTATTATTTATTTAAATTTAAAAAAATATTTATGTAAATTTTATATTATTATAATAATTCTGATTATCAAAATTAATCTTTATGAAAACGAACCTTAAGGGATAGGCTTGAAGTATAAAACTGATAAAATTTCGTGGTATGTAACAAAAGTATAATAATAATTTAAGTATCGTTAAGTGTTCCATTTTTTCGGAATTTATTATTAAAAATTGGTAAATTAAATTTTATAAAAATTATAAATAAATAATCAAAAGAAATTTAAAAAATATTTTTGTATATTTTAGTATTTCATAAAAAATTTTGTTGCCTTTATCTGTTATGGATATGGTGACCACGAATTTACAACAACAACGACAAATCACGGAGCAGCTACGTCGTGAAGCTGCTTTAAAACGAATTACGGTTAGCAAAGCTGTTGAAGATATCATGAAATATATCACAGAACACGAACAGGAAGATTATCTTTTGGTTGGTTTTTCATCACAGAAATCAAATCCCTTTCGTGAAAGAAGTTACTGTACCATTTTTTAAACTTGCATGTTTAAAATAAAAAGCAAATTATTTTAATTTTTTTCATTAAATATTCAAATTTTAATGTTTAAATTAATATTATTATTGTAATATCATTTATATTATGAATATTCAATATACATTTATCAATTTAATTTAATTCAAATCATCATTGTCTTATTTTTTTTATATATAAAAAATATATTTTAATATTTATTTTATATAAAAATTAGATGAGAATTATTATATTCAAAATTTATTTTTGAAGAATCTCATTATTATAATTTAATGCTTCATTATTATAACTTTATTGGCCTATAAATATATCATAAAATGCGCACACACAAGTGATTTTTAACTTAATGTATCAATATTATATCATATATATCATATATATATGAAAATAAAATGTTATTTTGTACAATGTTGACCTTATAAAATATAATATTTTTTAAATGATATTATGGGAACATTATTCAATGAAAGAAACAATCTATTTTTCATTCATTACAATTGTTACAAAAATTGAAATTGAATATTTCAAATATCTATATCTATTTATATCTAATGTATATTTATACAATTTATTTTGCTATATATGCTTAAATAAAAATGCATTTATAAAATTTAAATTGTAATATAAAATAAAAATATGTGATAAAAAGTACAAATTTTAGTTTTTATTATAAATTTTATTTTATAATTAATTAAGATTTATTTATTTTTTGATCTTAATAAACAATATATATGACTATTGTAACATATTAAAAAAGTTATCAGTTGTATGTGAATTTGAAAATTATTTTTTTTTTTTAGAAACAATGTTAAAAGTTTAACAGTTAAAAATAGTAATAATATAATATTTATAAAATATTTTCATAAAAGAAATTGCAAATTGGGAATTCTAATTTTGATATTTGATGTTAATAAAAGAAAAATTATAAGTATAACCTAGAATTGTATATTTATTTTGACACATTGTTTGAATCATTATAAATAATTGATTAAAACATTATTAAAAAAATTTTATATAAATATGCAATAGAAAGATTTATTATACAAATATTTTCTATTTGTCTCTTATAATTATTCAGGTAATTATTTAAATAATTAATTTATTCGTTTAAACAATAAAAAACATATTAAATATATTATTTTATTTATAGATATCAAAAATGTTTTCAATTAATTTAATAGTTTTGGATAGTTATCAATCAACTCCACTATCAGAATTAGATGTAACATTTTCAGATTTTCGAGGAAATGAAATTAGACAAGTCCCAATTATCAGAATATTTGGATCTACTTTATCTGGTATATCATAATTTATTTATGCAAATATTTAATTATTTGTTTTTCTAATATTATTTATTAATGTTAAGGAATAAAAACATGTTTACATGTACATGGAGTATTTCCATATATATATATACCATGTACAATAAATAACAATGTTGATAGCTTTATGTATAAATTAGCAGCAGGAATAGATTCTGCAATAAATGTATCTTTGGGAACTGCAATGTCTAATATTCAACATGTTTATAAAATTCAACAAGTTTATGGAATGTAAGAATATTAAATATTATAAATATTAATTATAAATATATTAATATATATTATTAAATATAATGAGTTAAAATATTTATTCTAATACTTACAATAATTAAAATATTTTAGTCCTCTTTATGGATATCATGAGAAGAAACATTTATTTTTTAAAATTTATTTTTATAATCCAGCTATGGTTAAACGAGCAGCTGATTTACTGCAAGTATATAATATTTATATTTATAATTATTTTTCTCTTTTTATTAAACAATGTAGAATTAATGTTAAATATTTTGTTTTGTTCTAGAATGGTATGGTACTTAATCAAAGTTTACAACCACATGAAGCACATATACCTTTTATTTTACAATTTATGATTGATTATAATCTTTATGGTATGAGTTTAATAAACTTGAAAAATGTTAAATTTAGACAATATACACATATGAAAGAAAATTCTCAAAATGAAAATTCATTAAATTTATTTGATTCACAAAAATATCTTCCTTCATCTGTTTTAAAGCAAACTACTTGTAAATTAGAAGTAGATGCACAAGCAAGTGAAATATTGAATAAACAAGAAATTCAAAATGGTTTTGATTTAAATCCTGGTCTTGCAGCTATTTGGAATGAAGAAAAATATAGAAGAGAAGCAAAAGGATTACAGAATATTGAATCACAATTTTTATATTCCAATACTAATGAGAGAATTTATAATGTAACAGAAAATGATATTTATCAAGAAAAAAGATTTATAAAAAGATTACAATCTATATCAGAGGTATGAAGATATTCCAAGAATTTTCATATAAAAAAAACATAATTTTAATTTATTCATGCTTTCTAGATCAGTGATGATATAATATCAAAAGAATATAGTTATCCTTTAGAATTAGAAAATGAAGATAATTCATTTAGTGCTTCATATGTTCCTAATCATTTTAAATCAATAGTATTAAATAAGGAAAATAAAAATGAAATACTTTTAAATAATGATTTATTAAAACTTAAAAAATCTGAAATAAGAGAAAATTTATCTCAAGATAAAATAATAGAAAATAGTATTTGTAAGTAATAATACTATATAATAAATACATTTTTCTTTCAAATTTTAATTTTTTTTTTTGCTTAAATTATTGATTAAGAAAAATTATATCTTTTAGTGGATTTAGAAGATATGTATTTGCTTGAAATATTAAATAATTTAATAGAAGAAAATGAAGAAGAAAAGATTATAGATAATGATAGTATGTTAGGTTCTCAATTTTCTATGTTAAACAATGAAATTAAGGATGACAATGAAGATGATGAAATTGAAAATTTGAATATTACAAGTTTAGATTTGAATAATATTGATTCATGGAATTCAATTATTGAATTTGGAACTAAGATTGAAGATAAGAAAATAGATTACATAACTGAAAATAATATTGAAAATAATATTGAAAATACTATTTCAACAGATCTTCCTCAGTATGATGGTTCAAGTGATTTGATTTTAAAAAATGAAAAACAATTATCATCGAAATTTACTAAAAATAAAATGAAAAAAGAAAGAAAAGTATGCACAAAATCGAAGAAATTTATATTGCATTTTAATAAAAATATAGTATTAAATGAATTTGAAAGTAAACATAGAAAATTAGTGCAAACTGAAAAAAAGCTATTCTATTACAAAGATTTAAATATATATAAATTAGATCATCAAGATTTAGATGTTTATGATATTGATGAAATATTTGAACATAAATTAATATTATATAAACATTTAAAGAACCCAATAAATTTTGAGAAAAAATCTAATCCAATTAGTCATGAATCATATCATACTATAAATAGTATTTTAAATAAATTAAATATACCAGCATTTGATGGTAATACAATTGATAGTTCTAGTGATTCTGAGTCAGATAAAAATATTACTATTAACAGAGAGGAAAAACGTATTTGTGTTTATAAACCATGTATAAAATCTAAAAGTGACAAAACTATTGATAATATTTCAGCAAAAAAACGAAAATTTAAATTGGAAGATTCTAGTTTGCAGTCTACACATAAACGATGTAATTTACAAAATGAATCACATTGTACTCCAACAAAAATAAAAACTGTACATAGTCCATGTTCTGTTTCAAAAAAATATTCTCCACTTAATATAAAAATAATATCTCCAAAAATAGATAAAAATATTAAAAATAACGAATTTTGTAATTTAAAATCTACCTATAATACTTTGAAACAAAATAATCAACAGCTGAGAATGAATCTATTTCATGAAAAAATAAATATTACTTCACAAACAAATCAAGGTAATTAATATATAATATATTATTATAAATTTTTTTTTATATATCTAGCATTTTATATTTCATTCTTTTTAGCATTCCTAACACATAATGAAATTTTAAATATTAATAAAACAATTATTTTTAAAGAACATAAAGACAGGTAAATATTATAAATATATATAAATATTTTTAGTTGTATATATGATATATATATAATAAATTGTAATATATATATAGACACATATATATAATATATATGTATAATATTTAAATTTTAATTTTTCATATTAGCAATATGTATGAAGAATTAATTGAAAAAAAAGATAGAATATCAACAACAAAATTTAAAAAGGAATTTATTACTAAAAATAATAAAGCAGTTTGTAAAAGATTAACTTTTGTAAATATTAATGAAAAAGATATTAATGAAAAAGATATTAATGAAAAAGATATCGTAAAGAATGATATGAACTTGGAAAATTTAACAGAAAAAATGATTAATGATATTGATCAAATCAATGATCTTACTAATAATTCAATAATAATTCATCCCGAACATTCTAAGTTATACACAAAAAATAATGAAAAAATGAATTATGAATTTAATTTTCCAAGTACATCAAAAAATAATATAAATTTAAATGTAGATAATATTTCAAATAAAATATCATTGATAAATAAAAATACAGACGAAAATGAAGATGATATTTTTTGTAATATGACATATACTCAATATCTTAATAAAAAATTAGAAGTGGAATTAGATATTTCAAATATTATATCACGTGATAGTACAAGTGATATAAAAACTAGATTAATTATCATTACTACTAAATTTAATCCACCAAGTAGAGAAAAGATTATAAACTCTATGAAAATGTATGATATTTTAAAATTAAAAAACAATGCATTATTCTTTAGTAATAAAATTGATTTGATGAAGTATAGAGAAAAAGAAAGTTTAAGTAATAGTAATATTTACAATGTAATTTCATTTAAATGTAATTTAGACAAAGTTACAGGGATTAAACTCTGGCAACGAGTAAAAATAAACGAATTTTATCCTTCTGGTTCAAGTATAAAATCTTGTGATATAAAAAGAATTTTAGCTGGATATAATTCATTAATAATTCATCCCCTTATTCATCCACCGACATCGAGAAATGTTAAAACTTGGTTAAAAGCCAAAAAATATTTATCAAAAAAAAATAAACATAAAAAAATAAGTGATTATATTGATATTCTAAAAGACACAAAAGAAAATAACATTAAAGAAACATTTAATGAAAGTATGAAATATCATTCACAATGTTCTAATAATTTGGAGAATTCAGATGAATCTAATAATAGTTTTAATCCTTCCTTACAAGAAATGCTTGAAAATCCATTATTATATATGAATGATACGCGATATTTAGGCATTTCATATGGACAAATTGAATATAATTTGAAAGAATATAGTAATAATGTAGAAAAAGAAAATCGTCAAACTGCTAAAAGCTTAAATATGGTGATTATTTCACATTAAAACTTCAAAAGTAATATCATATTAAATATTACTAAATTTTTTTCTTTAAATTATTACAGCATCAATATTTAACAATATTAGCAATAGAAATACATGTTATTACGCGTGGTAAATTTCTTCCTGATCCAAATCATGATTCAATTGAAGCAATATTTTATGCTATTTATAATGATGTTCCATTATCTTCAAAAATTGAACAAATAGAACATGGTATAAATAAGTATTATATATTGTTTATTTTTAATTATTTTTTTCAAATAATTATAAGTCCAATTACAATTATAATATTATTTTAGGTGTTATTCTTTTAAATTCATCTATAAAAAATTCAAAAGTAAAAAATATATATTCTAGTAATACATGTACTACATCTTATGTATCAAGTGAAGAAGATTTATTAAATAGCCTTATAATATTAATTAGACATTATGATCCAGATATTTTAATCGGTTGGGAGATAGAATTTCTTTCATGGGGATATATCTTTCACAGAGCTTCTCATATTGGTTTGAATAATTTTAAATGGCAAATTTCAAGGATTTCAAATGCAATTCCAATATTTAAAGGACAAGCATTTAATAAAGATAATGATACACAAATACCAGGACGAATTATTTTTGATGTTTGGAGATTAATGCGACATGAAATAGCATTATTAAATTATACATTTGAAAATGTTATGTATAATGTCATGCATGAAAGAATTTCATGTCCTACCTTTCAAATGTTAACTGAATGGTGGAATCATGAAAATATGACTATGCAATGGAGAGTTATTACTCATTATATTATAAGAGTTATAGGTACTCTGAGAATATTAATTCATCTTGATATTATTGGTTTGTATTATTTATTACTTTAACATTTTATTTTATTATTTATTTTGCAATTTTATAATTTTTCACATTATATTTCAGGTCAAACATGTGAACATGCACGACTTTTTGGAATACAATTTTATGAAGTCTTTTCTAGAGGTTCTCAGTTTCGAGTTGAGTCAATGATGTTGAGACTTGCAAAACCTTTAAATTATATTGCAGTTTCACCTTCTGTACAACAAAGAGCACGAATGCGTGCACCTGAATCTCTACCGCTTATTATGGAACCACAGTCTGCATTCTATACTGATCCATTGGTTGTCCTGGATTTTCAAAGTTTATATCCGAGTATTATTATAGCTTATAACTATTGCTTTTCTACTTGTTTAGGTCGTATAGAGCATATTGGTCAGTAAGTATAATTAATATTTTTATATTTATTATAATTTTAAATATAATATATTATTTAAATATATTAAATTATATAAATTATTAAATTATATAAATATATTAAATTATTCTTATTTATTCTAGATATGAGCCATATGAGTTTGGTACAACTACATTAAAAATAAAGAAGAATACTGCTCAAAAACTAGTGGGTAAAATAAATTTTGCACCTTGTGGTGTAGCTTTTGTAAAACCAGAAATACGAATGGGAATATTACCACGTATGCTTTCAGAAATTTTAAATACTCGATTAATGATAAAAAAATCTATGAAACTTTATGAAAATGATAATAATATATTAAAACGTATTCTTTATTCACAACAATTAGGTCTTAAATTAATTGCAAATGTTACTTATGGTTATACAGCTGCTAATTTTAGTGGTAGAATGCCTTGTATTGAAGTAAGTAAAATATGTAATATTTCTATATATTTTTTTATAAAATTAATCATTATTATTAATCTAGATAGGAGATAGTGTTGTTAGTAAAGGAAGAGAAACATTAGAACAAGCAATTAAAATAGTAGAATCTACAGATAAATGGGGAGCTGAAGTTGTTTATGGTGACACAGATTCTTTGTTCATTCTTTTACGTGGAAAATCAAGAAAAGATGCATTTATAATTGGAACTGAAATTGCTGATACTATTACTGCAGCTAATCCTCCTCCTGTAAAACTCAAATTTGAAAAAATTTTGCAACCAGCAATATTACAAGTAATATTTAATATTTAATATATAAAATACATATTAATATATTTATGGAATCTTTGGAAAATTGAAAATATAAAAATATGAATTATTTATTAAATGTATAAACATTTATATTTAGAAATTTAAAAAAAGCAAGGCGAATATAAAGAGAGAGATATAATAGAGACAGAATTTCAATTTCTATCTTTATCTATGCTTTTTTCTAATACAACAATTGCTAATTTATAATTTATTTATTATAAGTATTAATCAATATAAGATTTTTTTAAAAATCAAATCTTCAAAAATATCCCATAAATATATTAATATATTAATACTATTATATAGTATTATGTAGTATTATTTATATTAATTTACAATATTTTTTTTATATTCAGACTAAAAAAAGATACTGTGGTTATATGTATGAATCTCCAGAACAAACAAATCCTGAATATTTAGCAAAAGGAATTGAAACTGTTCGTAGAGATGGTTGTCCAGCTGTAGCTAAAGTAAATAAAATAAAATTATTGTGAAAAAAATAAAATAAAAATATTAATAAATATTAATAATAATTTTATATTTTAGATACTTGAAAAAACGTTAAAAATTTTATTTGATACAAAGGATCTTTCTATGGTAAAATTATATATTACCAGACAATTTGATAAAATTTTACGTCAAAGAATATCTATTCAAGATTTAACGTTTGCAAAGGAATTTCGTGGCTTGAATGGTTATAAAACTAATGCTTGTGTACCTGCTTTAGAATTAACACGAAGATTAATGCGTAAAGATCCACGAGCAATACCTCGTACTGGTGAAAGAGTTCGATACGTTATAATTGCTGGAGCCCCAAATCAACCTTTAATTCAATGTGTGCGAACCCCAATGGAAGTAATTTCAGATGAAGGTTTAAATCCAAATTCAATATATTATATAACAAAAGTTATCATACCACCTCTTAATCGATGTTTAAATTTAATCAACATTGATGTTAATATATGGTATAGCATGTTTTTATGTTATATATTATTTAATAAATTTTTTTATAGTATTTTTTTATAGCATATTTAAATTTTATTTATATATTTGTCATTATATTTATATTTATATTAATATTAATTTTTTTTTTTTATTTTAGGTATAGAGAAATGATCCATCGTCAAACATCTGATAAAACAATTAGTTTATGTACAAATAATCAAAAATTAACTATTCGGCAATTTTTTAATACTATTGTATGCGTTACTTGTGGAAATCAAACGCAAAAAGATATTTGCATGAATTGTATAGCAAAACCAAGTCAGACAATTACTATTTTATATGAAAAATTAAGATGGTTGGAACGTACTCATCATGAACTTACTATGGTATATATATATGTTAACTGTATTACATAAAATATATTTTATTTTTTATTGAAACTAAATTAAATTATTAAAAATATATATTTTTTTTTAGATGTGTCAATCTTGTACTGGTTATTTAGATGAACCAAAATGTGAATCTTTAGATTGTCCAATTTTATATCGTTTAATGCAAGCTAAAAGAGATCTTATTCAAATAACATATTTGAATAATATTATTTATAATAGTGATATTTCTTGTATACATAAAAAAAATATAAACTAATGATTGTTATCTTATCAAATGGAACATATATTCATATCTTTGTGATATATAGAATATTTTTAAATATTCATATATATAAAAATGTAATATTTAAATCAATATGTAATATTGGATAGAAAGTTATTTTAAATCTTTAATAAAAGAATTATAATTTCGATTTTGGCAAAAATCAAGTTTGGAAATTTATTAAGTACACATGTACATAATTAATTTTCGGTAAAATTTGTTTAATAATATTATCAAAAAAATAAACTTTAAATAATTTATTTTAAATGTGATTTTCTTAATTTTTTCAAATAACATTTCAAATAAAAAATTTTATTTTACTTTTTCGATTTCTCTTTGTAGAATAATTTTTTGCTTTTATACATATATATCTGTTTTAAAATTCTCCATGTAATAATATATATCATTATATTTTTTACTATTTTAATTACATATTAATTATTATATATATGTATTATATTATGTATTATATTATATGAATATATATTATATTATATTTATATTGAAAAATAATAAAATCAAAAAGATATATCTAATATTCAAATATTATTTTGCAAAAAATTGATTTGAACATAAAGATTATTTATTATGTCACCAGATAGCGTGGTATATTGAAAATTATTATATGTAAGCTGTTAACATATTCGTGGGATACATTTGGAGGATCAATTTTAAGGTTAAAATAAATATAAAAATAACAATTAAAACTTATTATTATTATTATTAAGTTATAAGCAATTGTGTTAAATAGAAATAAAATGAAATTATTTTGTTTCGGTATTGCTTCATACATAAACTTAAATTGTTTGTAATTTAATTTAATAAATAAGCTTTAATTGACATTTTGGTATACTAATTTTTTGTATTATTTGTATTGGTTTTTAAAATTGATTCTTTAAAAATGTCTCGAAAATAATTTATATATATATATACAATGTGTATATATACATAATATTATACATATATATATTTATATGGTAAAAAATTCCATTATTTAATCTGCATCATTTAATTTCTTATAAAAAAAATATTCATTTCAAATTTTCAATATTTCCAAGAATAAGTGGAGATAGTGCTACATAGTATACATAATATATGTGTTACTAGAGACAGAGATACATTCATGAAAAATTGATTTAAATAAAGGAATGCAAGTTTGATTGGTTACTTCTAATAGATCCAATAAATTCATAAAAAGAGGTATGCATATTGACTAAAAATATTACATTTACAAACGAGAACATATACTATCATATTTCAGTGAGCGATAGAAAGAAGTAAAGGAACAGTCTTCTGCTGTTAGCCATATTTTCGTGGATGCATTTATAATTTATACATAAGTTCCTCCCGCACAGTATTATTTTAAAAGTGATCTATTTTATAATTAAAAAATAATCTGTTAAGATTTAAATATTTATTTTTTTTATATTTTTATTTATATTGTGGAAAAAAAATGTTTATTTAATTATTTGAAATGAAATGTTTTATTTATATTATATATTATATTATGTATCAATATTATTTTTGCGGAGTTTTTTGATTTTAAAAATCAAAATGACATATACTTGCTTATAAGTGTTTTTTAAATATGTTATAAGAAATAAAATTCACATAATATTTCTAATTTAGAGGTATAATATATCTATATATTTTATTTATTTAATTACATCTCTCATGATAAAATAACATATTTATTTTAAATTTTATATTTATTTATATTTCATATATATTTATTGTATTTATTATTAATACATATTTGTTAAATATAATATAATTATATGAATTTATTAAAAATTAAAAATGTACCATATTCTTTATATTGTTTAGAATTTGATATTAAATTTCTTTATATGTTATATATATTCTAAAAATTTTTTCTTAAATTTTGTAGCAAATACCATGTCAAAAAAAAACAAATCATCTAAACATAAAATTTGCTGCTTCTGTAGATCATCACAAAATAATGAATTGGAATTTGGAAAATTTTATGAAGATGGTAACATTGTTACACATTATTATTGTTTGGTACATAGTTTTTATAAATATTTTTATTATTATAATAAATATTATTATAATATATGATATTTCAATATAATATTTTATAGCTTTTATCATCAAATATGCAACAGAGAGGAAAAGATGATCAAGGTATTTTAGGTTTTTTGAAGACAGATATACAAAAAGAAATTCGCAGAGGAAAAAGACTGGTAATAAATTATATACAAAGAAAAAAAACTTATAATTATTTAAAATATTTTAATTTAAAGGTATGTTCATATTGTAAAAAATCTGGTGCCACTTTGGGATGTTGCAATGTAAAATGTAAAAAAATATTTCATTATCCTTGTGGGTTAAGGGCTGGTACCTTAAATCAATTTTTTGGTGAATTTAGGTATATTATATTTATATTTTTTAATTTTAAATTTTTTAAAAAGAAGTTTAATATATGATAATACATTTTAGATCATATTGTATAAATCATAGACCAAAGCAAAAAATAGATACTCAAGTTAAATATGAATTAAAAAAAATGAATGAAATAGTATGTTATATATGTTACGAGGAAGTGGATTCTTATAATAAAGTTGATACAATGTGGGCTCCATGTTGTAAAAAAAATGCATGGTTTCATAGAAAATGTGTACAGGTAAAATAATTCATTAAGTATTTAAAATTTTAATTACAAAAAAATATACATTGAGAAAAAAATTAAAAAAATTTTTTTTAGCAACTTGCTATGAGTGCTGGATATTTTTTTAAATGCCCTTTATGTAATGATAAAAAATTATTTCAAAAAGCAATGTTAGAATTTGGTATTTTTATCCCAAGTCAGTAAGTAAATTAATGAAACTTGTGCATTTTATAATAAAATGTTAAATTATAATATTTAATTACTTTTATATTTTTTTTTGAAGAGATGCTTCATGGGAACTTGTACCCAATGCATTTGAAGAACTTTTATATAGACATGATCAATGTGATGCTTCTGTATGTCTTTGTCCTAAAGGAAGGAAATATACAAGTTTTAATGCGTAAGTGAAAAAAAAATATTTTATTTATTTTTATATAATGTGATTTTGGTTTTTAGTTTCTCATTTTTTATATAATTATAATTATAATTTAATAGAAAATGGAAATTAACACTTTGTCGCACTTGCGGTTCACAAGGAATTCATATGGCTTGTGGACAGCTTAAATGGACTAATCCTGTTTGGGAATGTACAGAATGTATTTCTATTCTAGGTAAAGAATAAAGTATTTTTTAATTAATTTTCAGAGAATTAATTTTTCTTTTATTAAATTTTTTTTTATATTTTTATATATAGGTAAATCTAAAGAAATTGCTAGTTCAAGTTCAATAAGAGATACATTAGAGTATGTATTAATTTTTTTTTAAGTTAAATTAAATATTAAAATATTAAATTGAAATATATAAATATTATTAAAATAATAGTGTAAATTTAATATAAAATTAATATATATATTAATTATTTTATTAGGAATGTTTCTGATACAGATGATTCAAACAGTGATATTTCTGTTGGTAAAGATTCACCTGTACCATTTATATCAAGTTCACCACTTGTAAACTCCACATTACAAATGTCAACTATTAAATTACGTCCTGGTCCTCGAATTTATAAATTAAAACAACTTGAAGCAAATAAAGAAATGCAAAAGTTAATATTTAAAAAATACAAAATATTAAATATATTACATTTAATTTATTACATTCTAATAAAAATATATTTTAATGTTCAATAGCATTAATAAACAACAAACTAGCGAAAATATAAATATGTTGAATTTAACAAATATGGAACAATATAATTTACAATCTACAAGCAGTAACGAAATTTTTACGAATGTGTCAAGTTCAATAAATGAAGACAATATCAATTTTTCAATTCGACATTCCAAATCACAGTTGGATGAACAAGCTAATAATATTCTTACACTTGATAATGTTAATGGCATTATAGAGGCAAATATTTATAAACAACAATTAAATAAAAATCACATAAATATTAAAAATATGAATTAAATAATTTTATAAAATAATAAAATTTACATATTTTGCAGGCCAATAAATGTACTACATTAAATGATAAATTTGTTATTGAGGATAATGAAAACGAAAAAAATTATGAATCTGAATTTAAAGACGTTAAAATTGAATTTAATAAAAATGATATTGTATATGATTCTATTCCATCAAAAATAGAAAAATTACAAAATAATTTAAATCAAAATAATAATAAGAATTTTCAAATGAATAATTTAAATTTAATTGAGTCAGATAATTTAAGGAAACTCAATTTACAAAATAAGACAAAGTCTAATATTTTAGATGATAAAATAAAATTAAATCATGAAAATGAATATATTTATAGTGATTTTGTTTCAAATATTAAAATTACAAATGTAGTTTCATTGGCACCTGAAGAATTTGAAAATGTAACGTCTGATGAACAAAAAAAAGTCAAAAATCGAACATCACAAAATAGAAATTCAATATTACATGAAAATGATATTTTCATGGAATCAAATTTAAAAAGGAAATGTGACAAAATTACAATGAATCCAATAATGTCATATATAAATGAATCTAAAAGATTGAAAAAAAGTAACAATGTAATAGGAGAAACATCAAAATCATCATGCATTTCTACAAATGCTTTAATAAATGTTTCATCTAATAAAAATAATTTGCAAATTATTCATTATAATGAAAATAATACTTCTATAAATGATTGTAACATACAGAATAAAGAATCACATATTCAGATTAAAAAAAATTGTAATGTCGAAGATATACTATGTACATCTAATACAAAATGTTTACCAAAAATTGATACATCAAATAATTTATTATATAATAAAACTGATTTAACAAATGAAGAAAATACTTACACATATATAGGTATTACAAATGATGCGAATAAAGAATTTGAAAATATTAAAATTGATAATAACATAAAAAATGTAAGTAAGATATTTTTTTAAATTATTTTTGTATTTTTTTTTTTTGTAAAAAAAAATATATAATAAATACCTCTTTCTAATTTTTCCGGTAATATTTTATAAATTCAATGTTTATTATTATTAAATATTTATTATTAAATAATTTATATTTAAAATATTCATTTATTTAAAAAATAGATAATTTATAAATTGTTTTTTTTTTTAATTTTTTATAATTATATTCTATTTTGTATTATTTATTTAAGAATAATTATGTTAATTTTGTATATTTCAACTTAAAAATTAATTTTAAAGAGAAGTAAGATATCATGGAAATTCTGTTTATAAATTTCCTTTTTTTTTTTCAATGTATTATTTGCAATCCTAACAGTGTGATGAAGATGTAAGTATTAATTCTACTAGAGAATCGAGAGATAAAATTTTTACAAATGATATAAGGATCAAAAACATTGATAAATCTGTAAATTTAGATGATTTGAAATCTAAAAAATCACAAAAATTAGAACAATGGAAATCTCAGAATAATGTCGAAATGTAAGTATTATAAATTATTCTTTCTAAATCTTTATAATTTTTATCAAAATTAAATTTTATATTTTTATAATTTTATATAAATAAAATTTTTGTTAAGTAATATCAATTTATTAACAAAATATTGTAATGTTTTATAAATTGCAGGATTAATACAAATTATAGAATATCAAACAATAAATTTCATGATATATGTTGGCAAGAGAGAAATAAAACTATAGATTATAATTATTCTCAATTAATACCAGAATATGTACGTTTACGAGATCTTAAATTTCGTGTACATAATATNAATATAATATAAATATATATATATATATATTAATTATATATAATAATATAATAACTTATATTATTATTAATATATGTTAGGAATTTCATTAAATAATATTTATAAAATTACATTTTTTTGATGCAGATGATCTTGTACAATAAATTTTCTGTAAATATTAATATGGAATGTGTAAGTATTATAAAAAAGAATATTATATTTGATATATGAAAATATCTGTACCTCAACAAAATATTTTAAAACACAAAATAAAACTTTAAAATTTGGAAATATTTTCTAGAATATTTCATCTGCTTATACTGAAGATAAAAACACATATATATTTAATGAACATTCTAAAAATTATCAAGATGAAACAAAAGAAAATTTAAATCCAGAGACAATTTCTTGCAAAAATATAACAGATGATTTATTAATGAATACAGAATTAAATATAAATGATTCAAATGTTTTTATAAATAATAATGAGAATGAAAAGATCATACAATCTATGTTTAAAATAATTGAAAATAATAAAGAAGGAAATAATGAAGGAAATAATGAAAATATTAATTTAATTGATAACATTGAAAATAATTTTGTTGCTACAATAAATTATAATGATAATTGTAATAAAAAAATGAACGACATAAAACAAAATATTCCAAATTTAAATTTTGATAATATAACAGACAATTCACGTGAAATACATAATATAATAGAAAAAGATTTGAAAAATGATTCTTATAATTCAACAAAATTAATTCAACATGTATTCTTTCTTGAAAATCATGCAAATAAATCAAATAAATCAGGAAACATGAATAAAAAAGAGTTTAAAGTAAGTATTGATTTAAAGAAGATAAAAAATTTTGTTGATAATAATCCAGATTTGTTCTCAAGATATAAAAAAGAAGATAATGAATGGTGCATTGAACAAGCTTCTTTTTTAAGAGAAACAAATAATATAAGAAAAAGATTTAATTTATCAGAACACATAAAAAATTTTCAGATATAAGATAAATAAAAATTTTGGAAAATTTATACTATTATGATATAAATGTATATATTTAAAATAAATAAAATATAAATGTAAAATATTAGAATTAATCGCAATGTTGAAACTATAAAAAATATTAAAGATACATTTATTGAAAAAAAATTTTTTCACTAAATTTATATGTAATATTTAATCAAATAAAAAATGTAATAACAAAGAAATTTTAAGAAGATAATAAAATAGATAATAAAAGATAATAAAAATTTAAAGAATAATATATATTTTATGAATATTTATAATATAAATATGTATATAAAAATATTTTAAAGCTAAATCTTAAAAAAATACTTGTTTATATTATATTATGTCGTTTAAGTTAAAAAATATGTTCATATATTATATTTATTTATAACAAGTATATTACCTTTATAGTATCTATATAGTAAAATATTTATGTATTA